AAAGTAATTATATGGGATATCCATTTTGATCAACATTTTGCAGGTCCTCAAAGAGTGGGACTCCCACAGTGTCAGCCAGTTCCAAGTACACAGCGGAGAGGGAAGTAGTATATGGTCAGATTTTTTTACTCGTGTATAGTAGCCTGCAGTGTCTTCACAGGTAGCAGTAACATAAGCCAGTTACGAGTACACGACTGAGGCCTTGTCTTCATAGTTTGTACTCTATCTGTATATCTGGAAATAGTTCTTGGCAATGTGCAGTGACAAATGCAGATGTCGACGACTTGAGGTTGTGAGTCCTTGTTTTTAGTGCTGCTTATGGCCACAGGGAGTGATCAGCTCGATTTCTGCTGTGGGATGGACCATTTGCTGGCAGCATCCATGGTACATACTGTCAAGGACCCCGTACTTGGACACCCTAGTGTGTAATACCTGCCATGCTCACTATACTTCATGTATTGCCCCAATTCTACTTACAAAATGTCGGTACCTATCATATCTACCACTCCTATGTACTTTTGAATTTTATGCATGATGTACAAGCACCAGGAATATTTCATTGGTCATCATGTCTATTGTGGCTGAAGACTGTCTACTCGGACAGCAAGCATGGGCACCATTTCAGCAGAGAAAACTTACTTGAAACTGATTCCATTAACTGCCATGGCATGCCAGACTATCCTTCAGTACATTCCAGGCTCAAATGAGAGTCCATTGGGCTGTTGTAGCATGCCCCCAACCTCAGGATCCAGGTGGCTGAGGCAGGCCCCATCCGTAATTGAGTTATCACACTCATAGAACAAGACTGATTCCACTTGAACCAGGCCAAAACATCATCATTTGGACCAAAGGAATGATACATACAGTCCCAGCAAGCCAACACCTGGTCAATGATGAAATCCCCTTTTTGCTTTTTCACCGTCCTGTTTCCACCACTGGTACACTTGAACTGAATCCCCAATGCCTTGTTGCACCAATAAATTTATAGTAAAAATTGTAGCATGTACCAAGACTGTATCCTGATAGTTATACCAAGTGCCATGAGATCAGCTATCAAGGCCGCCACTGGAGGAGGCTTCAAAGCACTGGAGGTTGAGTCACTTGAAATCCAGAGAGCGGCAGCAATGGCTGGCACATAGAGACCTTCAATACAGCTGAATCTACAGAGTCAGGAACTCAAGACAGAGCCAAGGATCCATAGAGTGAACTAGTGTATAACTTGAGGAGTAGCAACAGTGTTGTAGACCATGAAAGCATAAGGATAGGGAGATGGTGGGCCACGGAGGAGTTTGAAAGCACCAAATCAGGCAAGTCTGACAACAACAATGGGTATATCTCAAGCAATTTTAGAGACTTTGGCCTGAAACTCAGGGGTAATGTCCAGTCAAATGAGGGCTTTCAAATGGCATATAAATTGCATAGTAATGAGGGGTAGGGAGCGAGACAAAGCCCCGCTGTCTGAGTAGCCAGTGTGTCTGAGTAGGTGACCCCAGACAGTAATGTTAAGGCCCCAAAAACCACGAGTAGAATAGTAGTGTCACACAGTGTGACCATGTAACACATTGACTTGTATGGCCAATAACCTCTTTTGGATGACATTCTAAGGTCCAAAATTGACACAGAAATGATCTTACACTAAACAACAAATACTACCAGGTACTAACATCGAGCGCCCAAGGTCTATGAGGTGTAAAAAATGGTGAAGCCAATGTCATGGACAACGTGTCTTGGAGATGTCTGATATAGTATCCCACAGCATTCAGACTCAGTGAGCTCGAATGCACATCCTTGCAGAGGTTTGGAAGATGCAGAGGCAGACACGTAGGAGTAAGAAGAGCTGAATAGACCTACAACTTGACTCAACAACCATCCAGCGACCAGTCTATTGACACTCCCACTCCATGTCCTGCTTCACATCTTGCCTGCTATGGGCGCACTCTAGAACTCATCCAACTTTCCCACCATGGGCTTGCACATGCTGCAGTTGAGGAAGATGCCGCGTTCAAGGATGGGACCTCAACATGGACAGCAACAGCACCTGCCACTCCGAGGGTGACAGGGACAGATGGGAGATGGGCAGGTGGTAAGCTTGAGCTCCTGGCAGATGTGGTGAGTCCCATGGCTTGTATGTTCTGTGGCCCTCACTGCTCAGGCTGCCAGGTCCTCGATGCCAGATATTGATTGCTCCATCACCCTCTTGCTGCCTGCTCAGCTGCCTGCTCCTGCTCCATTGTCATTTCACCACCTGCTCCATCACTGCCCCCACCACCCTCAGACCGAGCTGCCATGCATTGCACCTCACCATCTCCAACACCCATCCCAGCCCATGCCCCCACCCACCACCCTTGATTCCAGTGCTGAGTATGAGACCAGATGCATCAGCTGGGAGGTCTGTGCACAGGGTGCCTCATTCCACGATGACTTAGCTCGCTGGGAAGCCCACTGTGCTGCCTGGTGCATCCCCATCTCACATTTCTCACCTCACCATTTCTCACCTACCTATAGCACCCCTTATGTAGCTCCTCAAGCAGCCATAACAGTGCCCAGCCTGAGCCCAGCACCTCTGCAAAATGCCTCCACCCATGCACCCTTGCACATCCTGCCTGGGTCAGCCCCCACATGCCCCGCAGGTTCTACTTGTGTCCCACAGACACCCTCACCCCTTAGTTGTCATCCTATAAGTTATCTTTTGCTATTGCTCCATTTATTGCCAAAGTACTTAAACACTATGTTTTCCCTAATCATCGCTGTCATTACCAATCCACTTGTCCTCTGTCCATTCCACAAACATCTGATCATCCCTCTCCATGCTCTGACTTTCAGTCTCATCTATGGATGGTCTGCTGTTTATAGCTTCAATACCATCACCCTCCAATGATACACTTTTGTCCATATCCACCTGATCACCAATCACCCTACCACCCATACACAACTCTGCTAGATTGGGTAGCAGCAGCACTTCTTCATCTTCAAGTTCTTCACAGGCTGCATTGGCTGCTGTCAAGACTTCCTGATCCAGCGCTTCTGGTTGGTTCTTGAATGTATCTAGTAAGTTAGTATATATAATCCAAAAGGAGTTCAATGTGACAGTAGGCAATCCAAGTCCCTCATAGAGTGCATGTGCTTGAACATTGAAGGCAGGTGGTGTCAGCTGGAAAACAGAATGATCATGCAGTGCCCACTGTTGCACCATCTCATTGAAGAGCTCATTGGGAACTCAAACCTGATGAGGACATAGGTCAGACACCAGCCCCGTTATTAGCCTCTGATGTTACCATGAAGTTCCTTGTCCCAAAGCGCTCTTGCTTATAGAATATGATGTCAGGGATGCCTTGAGGGAGGACCTTGTTTTTCTGTGCCTGGCATGGACTGGAGTTGAAATGCTGGACCCACGTATCCACTTCTGCCTATATCCATGGTATTGCAAGCCACAGAAAGACAAGTCTATGGCCCCGACTTGAGCATATAACTTTTGATCAAGAGCATAGTAAATGTACTTCTCAAGATGCTTTCCAGGATTGTACAACCCTTGATGCACACCCCAATTCAAGATGTCCTCAAAACCAGGGGTGAACCAATGGCGAAAGTTTGACCATCCTATCTCCAGTTTGATGTTATTTTTGTCATGTATCCATCAATGCTGGAGTGTTCCTATTAGACTCAGGTCTAACCAGTGATGGATAATTGTATGACAGTTTGCAATTCCGTTGTTCTCTGTCCCCGGATCAGACTGTGATACCAGTGGAACACCTATGCTCAGAGTCGAGTTAGTGATACCCCAGTCATGTGGTGAGGTATGCACCACCCTCTTTGCAATAGGCCTCAATATAATAACTGGTGATAAGTCGTGGGTTCCGATTTGTCCACCACACTTTCAGCCACATAATGCAGCCAGAGTAAGGCTTAATACCAATATGGAAGTGTAATCCCAGAGACTTCCACTTGTCATGCTGATCTACCATGACAATATCCATGACCCCAGTGATATGCACAGACACATGACAAAACCCACGAAGATGAGACCTAAAGACAGACACAACCACAAAGCAATCACCAAACCCTTGGTGTCAGATGGCTGCAAGGCCCAGGGTAACAAAGGGTATAGATAGTTCAGAGGGGATGGGTGTAGGTGAGATGTATAGATGGGGCTAAAGGGAGGTTGGCGCTGAGTCGCTATTCGGTGGCAGCCTGATTCTAGAGAGTGACACTATGCACTATCTAATGCTATACACACGGCACTATGTAGGCACTATATGATGCTTCTCCTAGTCGGCGCTGTATGATCTTCGGTGCTCTGTAGAAGAGCGCTACTTGCGGTCGCTATCTCTAACTCGGGTGTATAGACTCTGGTTAATACTATGTTACAGTGCACGAGGCTGCCTAAGAGAGAGGGACTTGTGAAGGGTTTGCTTACTATCAGTGACACTACACTGACTTGCTCTGTTGCTATCTCTGGGTGAAGTTGGAGGTACGCGAGAGTACCTAAATGCGAGATGCAAGATGGACTTAGAAGAAACTCTGATGTGAGACTGAAATCTGAAGAGTGTGGTGAATATAACTTGTTGTACAAAACAGAAAAGTGATGTCTTAAATACAGGAGAGGGAGTGCTCTATGTCCGATGATGGGGTCTGAGACCCCAGACACTCTGATGAATTTGAAGTTGGTGAAACTTATAGTCAGAGGTTGATTACTGCACAATAGCTCAGTGGTAAGAGCACCACAGCACAATTACAGGAGGTTGCTGGTTCAATTCCATCTTGTGCCATTTTCCTGGCTTAGCTCATTTGACTCTATCATCACCGACTCTAACTACCTACTACTGCAAGTTGCAGCCGATGCTGTAGTTTTAATGTATTACGCCCCCATTATAATAGCAGTGTGTTATGTGTTACACAGTATAGTATTGGGGTTAATGCATTATGCACCTCCAGTGCCCCAGAAAGGCTCCTACAAGCCAGGCTGGGCTTGAATTGGCTTACCCGGCACCCAGACATTATATCCCGATTGGGTTTGCATGTCTAGTGTGGGAAGGAGGCTTCTATATTGGTTGGAGAGGGCCTGGGACCTTGTTTCTGGCACAGAAAAATCCGGAAAAATCATGAAAAATCAGAATATATTGCTGCACCCATTTGGGACTGCATCAGTGCCAAAAATAGCTCTTCTATATATATAGAATGCTGCTGAATGTCACTCAGCTGCTCATATAAAATGGCCAAAATTGCCTAAAAATGCGGAAGAATTCAGGGTAGCTCCTGGGTGCCACCAGGGCCAGATGCCATCATGATATTATGTAATTACCTACCTAGTATCAGCAATATTTGATGTTATACACCTCTGGAACCCATTTTTCAGCCTCTTTCTGCTGGTGTGATCCATTTCTCCATCTGGATGAGATTTCTCAAGGCTGTACCACCTCAGCCATTAGAGCTATAGATATGAGACTTGTCCCATCCATTTATATCAGCTACCAGCTATCTATTGGTACCCCAAACTACCAAAAACATTTTTTCACACACTGCATTTAAAACACTTTTTTGTGTTTTCCCACACTAACACCCTCCCCCACAATCTGCCTTTTTGGGAATGGGGTCACCCAATATAGGGCTACAGGTTTACTTAAGACACTGAGAGATTCTGATGAGTGGGTGACTACTTACCGCTTTTGGGCAGTACCCCTCCTGCAGCCTCTCCCCAGCTACCGCTTTTGGTTCTGGTGGTCAATATCACCCCTCCCTAGTGTATACTAGTATATCAGAATATACTGATGAAGTCTGGGACAATTTGGATCATTAATCAGTGACCCAGTACTGACTCCCCTCAAAAACATACATTTATCAACACCCTGGTACAGCCAGTACACCTACTGTCCAAGAAACTCCTTGTAATACAACCTACCTCAAACCAATATAAAAGCCTCCTTCCCACACTAGACATGCAAACCCAATCAGGTCATTAATGTCTGGGTGCTGGGCAGGCCAATTTAAACCCAGCCCGGCTTGTAGGAGCCTTTCCGGGGCACTGGAGGTGCATAATCCATTACCCCCAATACTATACTGTGTAACACATAAAGCACTGCTATTTTTTATTTTTTATTTTTTTCTGGTTTATTGTCTCCAGGGCATAGCCCTATGTTAGACTTTACATGACCTGTATGTATAGCTCGTTTTCTTCAACATGACAAACAAAAATCTGTGTAACATTCACGAAGCCGCAGATTGTGGGGTGCAATGATGGGCGAGAGACCAGCGGTTAGTGTGAAGAGTAACGGTGGTGATGACAAGGGAAGTATGAGCTCAAGAAAAGGAGGGTGGATCTGGTCATCACTTGGGTGCATCAAAAACCCCTGTGGGGAAAAGCTACTGGGCTCACATCACCAGTGCCTTGTGGGCTCTTGTCACCCCCAAAGAAAATGAAACCTGAATTGCCTAGTTCCTCCTCTTCGGGCATCCCACATATAGATGGCCAGGATGCAAAATATGCGATGTTTGTAAGATTATAGAGTGGTCATAGGGTATGGGGTTCATAAGCGAATGGGCAGCAGCAGTTCTGCACTGGATCTATGATGAAGCATCATCTTCTGTTGGTGGTGGTAGGAGGTCCTCACCATGTGTCTTAGAGAAGCACTTTGTCTGATGCACGTATGTGAGCAGCAACTTCACTTCTGTTGTAAGCAGAGCTGAGAGGTCAGAGGCCACACAACCAAGCTTGCATCGCAATTCAAATCGAGGCTGATCGTACTTGCTGCACTGGAGAACATAGTGATGCACATCTTCCGGTATACCAGGGCAGTGGTCACAGTACTGGGTGGTGGAAGCTCCAATATGGTCAAGATATGCATTAAGTGGAATGTGACCTGTACACAGTTGCATGATAAGTGAGGCTTGAGGGCAGCGAAGCCCATCAATGGCTTTGAGGAAGGATTTTGATGGTAACTTTCTGTTGATGTTTTTTGTATGCTCGTAGAGTGGGGAGTGTTTCCATTCCCCATGCCATTGCTTCCGGATGTGTGTACGGTATGCTTGCTTGAGAGCAGAGGTGCTGATGGGTAGGGATTTGCAGTGCAGTACCTGCGGGAGAAGGTTAGTGGGGCTAGAGTCACCTTCAGCTGCTTTCTTCGCTTCCTAGTGTATACTAGTGTATCAGAGTATACTGACCGAGTCTGGGACCATTTGGGCCATTATCCAGTGATCCAGTACTGATTGACCTCAAAATCATGCATTTATTGATACCCTACTACAGCCAGTATACCTACTGCACTGGAAACATGCCATAATATAGCGTAGAGTATACCCATTTGACCCTAGATCCTATCTCAGTCACCACCCAGTACCACAATGTGCTGTAAACAGCTTGTTCCGGTGCACACTAGTAGCTCAGGTCACTAGTCCAAACAGTCCAAAAATGATCTGAAAATGTCAGACAAGCTGTTTACAGCACATTGTGGTACTGGGCGGTGACTGAGATAGGATCTAGGGTCAAATGGGTATACTCTACGCTATATTATGGCATGTTTCCAGTGCAGTAGGTATACTGGCTGTAGTAGGGTATCAATAAATGCATGATTTTGAGGTCAATCAGTACTGGATCACTGGATAATGGCCCAAATGGTCCCAGACTCGGTCAGTATACTCTGATACACTAGTATACACTAGGAAGGAGTGATATTGACCACCAGAACCAAAAGTGGTAGCTAGGGAGAGGCTGCAGGGGGGGTACTACCCAAAAGCGGTAGGTAGCCACCTGCTCATCAGAATCTCACAGTGTCTTAAGTAAACCTGTAGCCCTATATTGGGTGACCATATTCCCAAAAAGGCAAGTTGTGGGGTGAGGTGCTAGTGTGGGAAAACACGAAAAAGTGTTTTAAACACAGTGCGTGAAAAAATACTTTTGGTAGTTTTTGGTACTCATAGATAGCTGGTAGCTGATATAAATGGATGGGACAAGTCCCATATCTATAGCTCTAATGGCTGAGGTGCTACAACCATCACAAATCTCATCCAGATAGAGAAATGAACCACACCAGTGGAAAGAGGCTGAAAAATGGGTTCCAGAGGTGTATAACATCAAATGTTGTTCGTATCAGGCAGTTGATTACATAATATCATGATGGCATCTGGGCCCAAGGGATCCTAACAACTACCCTGAATTTTTCTGATTTTATGTGAGCAGCTGAATGGATATCATGAGAGGATTACATAATATAATGATGCCATCTGACCCCATCAGGTCCCAGGAGCTACCCTGATTTTTTCGGCATTTTTAGGCATTTTTTGCGAATTTATATGGACAGCTGCATCCCATTCTGCAGCATTCTATATATATATATCAATCTAATTTTAGTACTGGAGGGGTCCCAAATGGGTCCAGGAATATATTCTGATTTATTCCGGGTTTTCCGCATTTTTCTGGGCCAGAACCAAGGTCCTAGTCTATTATCACCAATATAGCAGCCTTTTTCCCACACTTGACATCCAAACCCGATTGAGATCTTGATGCCTGGGTGCTGGGCAATCCAATTCAAACCCAGCCTGGGTTCTGGGGAAATGTATGGCACAGCCTGGGGCATTAATACATTATGCTTAAAACATTACTAGGTATTGCATAAGGGTTTGTTAAAATATTAGACATGTAATACATTAATACTACAGCATTAGGTGCACTCTCAATAATCGCGGTAACAGGCCCTGCTATGCACTGCACCTCTTGACCTCCCCAAGCAGCTGCCATCGTTGCTGTCAGCTGTCCTGTACATGTTGGTTGAAAGGCGGCGTAGGATCATGCTGAGCTGCCATTGAGGCAATAAGCCAAGGACTAGCTAGCAGGTATTCAGTGAGGAGCAGTGCACGCCATATGTTGGGCACATCGGCCTGGTGCAGGACATGGACGTGGTGATGCAGGAGGATACAACAAGCAGGGAGGCTGGGTGCAACAGGATGCGAAGGGGCAGCTGGGATTGAGTAGTGCACATGGTGAATATTGTGTGTGGGAGATGAGAGCAGGAAGGATGGCAGAAACCACAGTGGATGTAGAAAGCTTCAGGGTGTGGTAAAGACCGCGGTCATCGTGGCATGCACGAGGGGCTAGCATAAGAAGCAGGTGCGAGTGCAGAAGGAGAGGAAGCAAAAGTTGGTCGAGAATTCAGAGTGCAAGTTGGCCATGTTCACAGAGCTGAGTGATCAGGATGAATTGCAGAGAGGCAATGCAATCCTCCCAACAAATGAGGATGTGGAAAGATCTGAAATCATGTAATGTATTCCCGTGAGCTATGCTGTTGCCCCGCGGGAGTGGCCACTGTCCTACTGCATCCCACCATGCTATAAAGCTAGGATTGCACGTTCTATTGCAGAGCTGGAGGGACAGCTGCACACACTGCTCTTCAAGCATGTAACACATTCCTTTGCTCTTTGCTACTTTGCTCCATGTGCTTAATTGCCTCAGTGACCGTGCTAGTATACCCTTCCACTCTAGGCTAGTGTATATTATGGGTAGCGCTGGCAGTAGCCTGCCAAAATCTCTTTTTGGTATGTTTCCCACACAGCCACTGCCCTAATCTGTGCAACTCTTGCTGGATTGGGTACTGAGCATGTCTGAGCCCTCTCAAACTGCATGTAATATGTCCTCTGTATGACTGTTGGCTGGCTACATACTCTATAATATGTGTTCTGGTTTTACTGATGGAACTGTCTCCTCTGGAAGTACCTTGTCTCGAAGTTGATTCTCACGAAAGGTACATAATACATGACAATCATCGCTTGAGACCTAGAG